ATTTTTTGAAAAAAACTACTTGTTATTCAAACACTTTTAAAAAAAATTATTCCTTTAATATTATATATGAAGATTTCATTGAATAAGGAACTATTGATAGTATTCGGCAGCTGTAATGGCCCTCGTATCCTACCAGGTAATATTCAAACTGGTATGGGAGTGCATTGATAAGCTGAACATATTCGGCTGAAACAATCAGGTGCACCTCATATGAACTGCGGGACATGCTGTCATCCAAGGCGGCAATGAAATGGCAGAGAAACTTGCAAGAAGAGGCGCGGCTTCAAGAATGATAGGCCCAGAACTATTCTGTGGTCTAGGCAAAGGAACTCTATCCATACTTATGAGCAGCGCTGAGGAAAAAGAAAAACAACTGTATTGAGAAAAGCCACCAAGACCATCAGAATCTAAAATGCTTTTAGGGACTTACAACCTAGAACGCTTCAAAGATTGCATAACACAATTAAAAAGTAACTATGGTAAAGACCGGTCACTGTCGATTGAATTATCACCTATCGAAGTTAGGTATTCAATCCAACTCAGACTGTAGATACTGTAGCGAAGAGAGAGAAACTGCATACCATGTGCTTGGGAAGCGCCCGAGGTTTCGGAAGAAACATCTAGGAGACTATTTCATGGATCATAAGGACCCAAGACTATAAAAGATAGGTTCTATATTGTTTTTCATTAAAGAAATCGGAGAATTGGAGAAACACTCTTATCTGACTAAGGGGCACAATAGATCTTTTAGGTTGCAATGCACAATTCCTTCGTTTCAATAATAATAAAGGTATTCTACGTTTTTAAAGTAAAATAAAAAACATTTTCTTTTCGCCATAGACGCGTCACTTTCGGCAAGAAAAAACTAACATTAGAAAGACATTTTCTTTTTTTATTTTAAAAGCAATTGTATTAGCAAATATTGACTTTTTGTTTTAGCCATCATCAATTATTTTCCGACAATTTCGGGATTTATCCTTGAAAATCTTTAGAGTCCTCTTACATAGACATATTGAATAATAAGAGTTATGTTTCGCACTAGAAATGTATCATAGAAAAGATCCTTTTAGACTAATAGCAGTAGTTACTGGCTTTTGTCATATTAGAAAGTAGAGGGTCTAAATGCCAATCTGTTAGAGTATACTATACCCACTGTCTGTGTTGCAACCACATTGAGAAAAAGGATCTATATAACATTTTCTCTGTACATGCCCTAGATAAACCGGGTTCTTCAACTATCTTGTAGAGCTGAAGATAATTACAATCACGAGTTTTTAGTGTTTTCTAAACCAAACACAATGGATCTTATCATGCTATTCAGACCTACAATCACATAATTATTAAGTAACGAAGATGTGGCAATGAAATAGTTTAAAAACGCTATTTGGGCTCATGGAGAGTCACAACTATAAGCACGCATATAAGCAAAACTGTAGCTTTATATAGCGGCTACATATCAATCTACTTCTATATAAAAATAGAGTGTTATTATAATAATAGTATTATAATAATTGTAATATTTTTATAGTATTATTATCATAGAATAATAATAATATACCATTATCTTTATAAATATATATTTGTATACCTTACAAAACCGTTATGATATTGATATAGGATATAATTGAGGTAGTTAAGAAGTTACATTAAAGTATCTGTTTGTGTGGCATTCATTACATTCAAATCAAAACTGTATTATAGATCTTTTTCACGTGAATTACAAACAACTTGTGCAATTTATATACCGTCTCTGCATAGCGTATAAAAATAGTTGAAAACTTTTATTATAGTAAGTCTATATATTTAAAACAAACATTAAAATGCTAAGCAACCATTTTTGCAAGCAAAAGCAAAACAAAGGCATTAGATTTTAAAAATATATATATTATAGGTATTTAAGTAAAAATTGCTAACAATTTAAGTTTAATTTTAGATATAAGTTTAAAAATAATTTTAACAAACGCAATAAGTTTGAAAATTATAGATTTTCTATATACGGCCGCTTAAGTACGACGATGCCATATTTACATCACCATCACTGTAGGCAATTAAGTATAAATACAATAGGGTTTCAATTATACGATACTGTTCAAACAGAAGGGTGTTCTGGTAGAATTTCCGGTGCATTACACATTAATTGAACGTTTCCCGCAATCACTTACCCCTGCCGAAAAGTTGCATAGAATTTGTTGACAATTGCGTGCTGGAAGGCAATCGTAACAAATTGCATTTGAAGGTGCAAGTGGGGGGTTAGTTTCGACAATGTACGTGTAAAAGCAAAAATCGACTTTACAATAGTTAAAGTTTGTTTATCTTTATCGGTTTTTTAACAACATATGGTTACTATAGTAATCACACGTTTATACCAGTAAGTTTTTCATACGAAAACTTCGAAACGGCTATTTCTATTTATATAAACTTAGTTTCGAAACATAAAAAAATGAGAAGGTTATAATGAATATTAAATATAAAAATAATTCCATCAAATTTCATAAATCAATTGAGTCATAAAACAAACAAAAAATATAGGCAATTTTAATTAAATCCTATTTGTGCAGCTGTACTATTTCTGCCTATATTTTGTGTACCGAAAGGTAATTCTTCAGAGAAATATAGTTATGTTAAAAAAGGTAAATCAACACACACCTTCACAAATATATGTTTGTATAAAGATACTTAATTATCAGAATAGTTTAAATGACACATTTTTGAATTATGCTGTACAAGACAACCACAGTGGCTTAATTATCAAACACTTAATAGAGAGAGATTCTCGTATGCACTAACGTATATTAAAGCCATTTTTATTTAAATAACAATGCGGGTGGGTAGTTTGTTAA